ATATATTTAATTATGGTAATAAATTATTATATTCCTACCTTTCTATACCATCCTGATTATACTCAATATTACTTTTCTTAGTGACTAGCTCTGAACTGGGAAGCATGTTTGTATTCAGCTCCTGCTCCTCATGATGTGCCCCTCCCTCAGGACATGTGTGTTCGCAGGCTCTCTAAAGTCTGTGGCACAGCCCCTCTGACTGTTCTTCTCTTCACCTTCTCCACATAATTCTTGCCTTGTAGTGGCCGCTTTTAGTAGCCGTTACATATATTTTGAAGTCTGAAAAGTCTCTCTCTCTCCAAGTTTGATTGAAAATAGAGTTTGTGGGGCACCTTGCTGGCGCAGTCGGTAGGACATGTGATTCTTGATCTCAGGGTGGCGAGTTCGAGCCCCACACTGGGTGTGGAACCTACTTAAAAAGAATTTTAAAAAATGGAGTTTGGGGGCTTTTTAATTCCTTCTTCTTGCTGTTATTGTATAGGCCCTAGAGAAGGTGAAAATGCAGACTTCTGCTACTATGCTCATAGCAAAAGTCTCAATGAAGTAATCTTTGACCCAAAGAACACCCACTGATTTCTGGAAGTAGGAGGCAATTAAATCAATCTTGAACTCTGTCACCCAAAGTTTTATTAGAAACATAGTGGGGATTTTGGAGAGAGGGCTGCTGAACTTTGTGTAGTGAAATAGAAACTTGAATTGCCAGTATCTATACTGGGCTTAACGAAGAGATAAGGGAATTCACTCATTCACTAGAAAATAATTGAACAACTACCCTGTGCTAGGCATTTTGCTAGGCAGTTAGGTGGTGGTTACTGTTGGTGGAGTTAGTCTACTACTGCATGATTACAATACTGTTTCCCCAGAACCTCAGTTTCTTGGGGTAAACCCAACCTTATCTACTTTACAATGAAGCTGAAGTGAGTTTCAATATATGAATCCTTTGGTGGATTTCTGCTTTTCTGAAAGGGGAATTTGGAGCCATTATAAGCTTTTAAGGAGTAAAGTATTGTGACCACAAAACTAGGTGGAGCTTGTATCTGGTTCATTTGAACCAGAAGTCACTGACAGGTCAGGTGGCTGTAGTACAACCAAGGGTAGAGACGGTCCATGACCATAACAGTAGTGAAGAGGGAGATGCCTCTAGGAGTGAGGCAGGCAAATTACGGGAGCGAGGGTGCAAGTGACAAATGGAAACATAGGAACCAAGGATCAGATGGGGTTGATGGCCAAAGGGCAATGATGGAAGGACATCCCGATGCAGAGATCATGCCTTCTCATTTCCCCATACCTGGGAGATCAATTTCCACTTATATTAGGGGCTCACATGCCCCTATGTGATCATCGTTTTAGACTGGCGTTCCTAAAAACAGACTCTGTGACTCTGTGACTAACAGACAGGGGATTTAATGGGGAGTCCTCTTAGGAACAAGAGAACCTCTGAGAACATGAAGGAAGCAAGACTAGTCAACAGGAAAAATTGCATTGCAATGTAGCTGCAACAGAGGCCCCAGCTAATCTTATGGAGAGCTCCAGAGAGCTCCAGAATTGGACCGGCCTGTCAGAGTGGTCCCGAATGAAGGCAAGAGGGCCAGTGTTTATACTTCTTCATTATCCAGACACTGGATATGAACTGCCCCAGTGAGGACAGTCCTCAAAGGAGACTGGCTGAGAGCTGTTGACCATCAATGCTCCTGGTAGCTGTGAGCACTTGAGTCCTGAACAGGCGGTGTGGACAACACACCCTAGAATCCATTATACTTCTCAAGCCTAGCGCAAGAGGCAGCCTCAAAACTGCTGCTCCTTAGGTCTTTAATTTCCCTTTGGTCTCATCTTTCCCTGCTTTGCTGCTACCCCCGCCCCAGCGCTACCCCCCATATTCTAACTACCCGGACCACTCACCACTCCCTGATCACACAGTATGCTCTTAACACCACCTGCCTTTAACATCGGGCTGGAATGTCCTTCCTCCCTTCTGTTCATCAAAACCATGGTCCTTTTATGGGCATACTTCAAAAGCTAATTGTATGATGAAATTGGAAATTAAATCCATTGCCCCTTCCTCTAAAGTCTCAAAGCATTGTGTTTGTTACTCTGTTGTCAAATCTGTCCTGCTGGCATGAGACCTGATCTTGTGCTGGTGTTTTCCCTTTATCAGATTATAAATTCCACAAGTGCAGTTTTCTCTTTTATCCTATTAGTCTCTCCATAAACTAGCATTGTGCTTAGCACAAAATAGATGTTCACCAAGTTGAAACTAATTACATCCAGATGCAATTGGAATAGAAGTTTCTCAAGGAAAGGCTCCCCAAAGGTCTGAAGACCTTTTGCCAACACCGTGTATTTTTTCTTCTCACAGGAAGAAAATGGCATGTATTTATTCAGTAGATTTCGAGTGCCTACTAGGGGACAGATACTGAGAGGGTTATTGCTTATCGCTCTTGTTGAGGTAAAATTCACATAATAGAAAAGTAATCTTTTAAAAATGTGCAATTTAGGGGCACCTGGATGGCTCAGTGGTTGAGTGTCCGCCTTTGGCTCAGGTCACGATCACAGGGTCCTGGGATTGAGTCCTGCATTGGGATCCCCACAGGGAGCCTACTTCTCCCTCTGCCTATGTCTCTGCCTCTCTTTCTGTGTCTCTCGTGAATAAATAAATAAAATCTTTTAAAAATAAAGGGCAGCCCCAGTGGCTCAGCGGTTTAGAGCCGCCTTCAGCCCAGGACATGATCCTGGAGTCCCGGGATCAAGTCCTGCATCGGGCTCCCTGCATGGAGCCTGCTTCTCCCTCTGCCTGTGTCTCTGCCTCTCTCTCTTTCTGTGTCTCATACATGAATAAATAAAATCTTTAAATAAAAATAAAAATGTGCAATCCAGTGACAGTACATTCACAGTGTTGTGCAACCACCATGTCGGTTGTCCTTAAACAAATTGCACCCAGTCTGTGCTCCCCAGAAGGGAGCAGAGTGTCTGAGAACGTAGAGTTAAACTCACCTTTGTATTACTACCTCTGTGTAGAAATCACGCTGGCTTGTGTTTCATGTGTCTGTTGCTGAACGTGAAGATATTTTCAGTGTTCTGAGAGTGTCATGTTTGAGTGTCACTGAAGCTTCCAAACCCCCATCCTAAAGGAATCCTCCCCAGCTTTGGAGCAGGGGGAGGCCTGAGTGACCTGAGGCCACAGATGATCCCACCCTCAGGAGGAGGGAGAGCAGCGCCCAGACTGTACGCCACCTTGTTTACCATTGTGTGCGTGGAGGAACCAAATGACAGGGAAACCCCAGCGGCAGGTCTGTCGGTGCCCTAAAATTTCCCTGTGGCTGTGATAAAATGAACACCATTACAAGCTTTACCAGGGAATAATCACCTTTCTTTCAATCACCCTGCAATATAGTCTGCTTTCCAGATGAGAGTAAACTGAGGCCGAAAGTGATGATGTGTTCCAGCTCACATGGGAGTGCAGAGCGAAGATTTGCAGGTGCTGCTGCAGGTGGCTCTGCCCTCCCCTCCTATGTGGCCATGGCCATGATGGCTCTACCCAGAGCCCTCTGTTTCTTCCCAGCGCACCGCATCCCCATCAGCTCGGATCCCCAGACCCAGCAAGAAACGCAACACAAACAGGATCAGGAAAAAGGCTCCAAGGCACTATATACAAGTTTATTTTACTTTTGTCTATAAAGGCAATATTAATCTACCGTTTTAAAATCACTTCTCTGAAAACCAACTTTCTGGAAATGCACCCTTTATAGATGGGGAACATGTAATAATATGTACACTTACAGAAGCATTTGAAACCGATAACTCAGTTAATAGTTTGCAAGATAGGTTTTTGTCTTGGGAGGGATTATAGGTCTCTCCCAACTTGATTAAAGTCTACTTAATTCTGATTAATTAAGGCTGTAAGAACAGAGATTTATTTTAAAGGTGTCAAACAATTACATGATTAAAATGACTTGTAAGATATGACTGACTGAAATTTTGAGTCATCTAAAAGTTAAAAAGGAGAACAATATTTTAAAAGAGGCGATAACCTTGTTCACAACTTCATAATTTTGTGACGGTCCTGTTCATGCCTACATCAGTAAACCTTTAATTGTTGATTCTCACCTCACTTGATGGCAGGCATTTCAAACTTATTAAGGAAGCATTGTCATCCTTTATTAGGCCTTGTTATTTTTAGTTTTGAAGGTTCTGTTTGTACACAGGTAAAAGACCTTAAGTAAATGTATCTGCACCTATATACTATTTGTGAAATTTGAATATTCATCTGTAATCATTAAAACAAAATATGCTCACAAGCATATAAAAGTGTGTTTGAATTTCCACCAATGTGTTGGAATTTTTTTAATGCCTTATGTTTGTTTCATGTTTGGAAATCAGACCACGCTAATGCCTTCACCTCCTTACACTTGTAATCAGCATCAAATTTTGGTTTCCGTTAACAAATAAAACCTTAAAATAAAAGAATCAAGATCAGGTTCATTACTTCACTACTTGTTTCTGCGTACATCTGGCTTTAGACAATATATCATGCTTCAGGTATATTATTAGAAAAGCCCTAGGACGGCATGTCGAAATCTTTTATATTGTTCCACAAAAGCTAGAAGTTGATTAAAGGGCCCATTTCTCACAGCAAGAAATAGCAATTGATTCCACCGTCAATCTTCCACAGTTCCTCCTGGAGAACTCCATCAGCTCAGGAGGGAACGAATGATCCTTCCCTTACAGTATTAGGTACAACCTCATAGAAATGCTGCTCAGAATTCTTTGTTTACTCATCCCTGCAGGCAAGCCCGGGAAGAAGAGGGATGCCACAGCCCAGCTGAGCTCCTGCTGCGCTGAACTCACAGGTGGCAAGAGGAAAAGCTGACGCCGGGGGAGAAGCCCGTGGTCTGCAGTAGATGTAAGGCTTCTTCCTGCCACTTGCTTGGGAATTCTTACTATAATACAATTTTAAGCTCTTAATTTGGGAAACTGAGCTCTATCGTTTGCCTCTTCATTCTTTACAGAGCATCGTGAAGATCGTGATCCCCGGTGGACTGCGTGTAGGACGAGCTGGGAGTGTCGGGGGAGTACATTTGGAGGAGCCTACAGTATTGGCAGAGCATGAAAGGGCCCCTGCAGGTTTTGAAGAGCTGCACGAGATACTTGCGGAATTTCTCCCCGAGGAAAAAGTAGATGACAGGATTAAGGCAGCAGTGAACGAAAGCCAGGGTCTCTGTGGCCTGAATGGCGTAGTCCAGGTGCCTTTCAAAGGTGCAGTCCTGAAGGACCTCCAGTTCCACCAGTGTCTCCAGGAAGAGCACCACATTGTAAGGCGCCCAGAACCCGAGAAAGAGGGCCACCACGGCAAAGACCATCCTCACTGCCTTGCTCTTCTTCTCATTTTTGCAGTGCTGCAGTGTCCTGATGATCATGGAGTAGCAGAACAGCATGGTGCCCAAGGGAATCACCAATCCCAGAATGTTGATCTCCAGGGAGCTCAGCACCTTCCACCTTGTAGAGTTGAGGGAGTACTTGGTTTTGCAGTAGGTATGGTTGCGCTCGGTATAACAGGTGCTGAATAAAAGGCCCGGAAGGGAGGCCAGGACAGCCACAGACCACGTGGCCAAGCTAGTGATGACCCCATACGTCAAGGTCCTCGCCCTCAGGGAGAACACTGCATGCACAATTGCCAGGTATCTGTCGATGCTCATGAGCATGATGAAGAAGATGCCACTGTAAAAGCCCACCAGGTACATCCAGGAAATAATCTTGCAGAGACCTAGTCCAAAAACCCACTGGTCTGCGGCATAGTAGCCCCAGAAGGGGAGAGAGAGCACGAAGAGCAGGTCCGAGATGGCAAGGTTGAGCAGGTACACGTCAGTCATGGATTTGAGCCTCTTGTACTTGAACAGGACCACAACCACCACAGAGTTTCCAAGGAGACCAAACAGGAAGACCAAGGAGTAGAGAGGGGGCAGGAAGAGCTCCCCAAATGCCTTGATGCCTTCTTTGGTGCAAGGCTTAGGGATGTTTTCGTAGAGATAGTAATTATTATAGATGCTTTCATCCAGGGTGGTGTCTGCTATATCTGTGGGATTCATTTTCAAATCTACAGGCTCCTCCACGCAGGTCTGAGCCCAAGCAGAAGCTTGTGAGGGGAAGAGCAAACAAGATTTCCATAAGAACAAAACTAATCGAAATGGTGCTGAATACAGAGCACAGCTGCTTCTTACCTGGACCATCACCCGCCCTTCCCCACCTTCCCAAGTTCAAGGGCTCCATTCCCCGCAGGGCAGTGCAGCCAAACTGTAGAACTCTGCCCTTTGGAGTTAGCAGATTCCAAGTACCAGCTCTGCCCCTTTCCTACCCCTCCTAGGGGAGCTTCAGTTCTCTCTTCTGTAAGTGGGGACAGTACAAACTCCTTCTCAAAGAGGTGTTTTCAAGGATGCGTTTCTAAGCAATAGTCTGGGGTAACAGAATCCTTTGCAGAATCAATCTCACTTGAGATTCCCAACAGTCCTGTACTCAGAGCTGCCTTTGTGACATCAAGGCAAAGTAAAACAAAACAAAAAGATTAAAACTCTACTCATGGTTCCCCTTCAGATTATAACTCCAAAAATTCAGTAGTTGCTTCAATAACCACTAGGCTAAATGGTCGGTCACTGGCCTTTATATAAAAATTCAAGGACAGCTGGGTGGCTCAGCGGTTGAGCATCTGCCTTCGGCCCAGGGCATGATCTGAGTCCCACTTCGGGGTCCCCGAAAGGAACCCGCTTCTCCCTCTGCCTGTGTCTCTGCCTCTCTCTGTCTCTCATGATTAAATAAAATCTTAAAAAAAAAAAATTCTAATCCCTCCTGCAAGTTTGACACATGGACTTCAAAGCATGTTCCCTGGTATTGTGCATTTAATCCTCTCCCATGCTCCTGGCCCCTACCAGCCTCCCAACAAAAATTCAAGGGCTCTAAGTCAAGCAAGCATATTGGACCAGAGTGTAGATGAGTCATAAAAAGTTCAGAGCAGTTAAATGAGGCCACATGGCTATATGCAGAACTTCTTCTTTGGGCCCCAAGTCCCAGTGATGTACTGGGAAATCAGTGTGGGGAGGTGAGGTGAGGCACTCTGATTTATGGTGTTTGCTGGTTTCTGTGGTACAAATACTTCCACCGTGGCAAAATTCCAGCTACTAACTGCCTCACGAAATTCCCTCATCTCAGCAGTCTTGGGTTGGTGCAAGTTGTCCAGCACACACTAAGTCCCGTGTTCATTCTAGAACACCACCTTAGGCAGGAACATGCCTGGCCTTCCAGGCCTGGTGGCTAGCTGCTTCTGGGCTAGTCTGATACAAATGCAGCAAGTGTGTTTTCCAGGCCTTTCTGAAGGTGGCAGGTCTTAGATAATTTCACAGTACTCAGATGGTAATTTGAGGGAACTTTTGGGTCTTTTTATCAAAACTGCATGCAAAAATAGTCCCATGCACTGAATCCCATCACAGTGGGAATTAGCCCAACAGATCTTGAAAAGGCACATCATGGCCAGAAATGTAACCCTTCTCCCTCTCCAAGCACCCTCATTTCCTACCTAAATTGGCAGGTGAAGACATTAAAACCTTCTTAAAGTCACACACATGTTCACATGTGAATCAGAGCGATTCGGGGCCGGAGGTACTTTCTGACTCAGGGCTACCTCCTCTTGCTTCCTTTTCAATGGCACCCGGTACTCATTATTACAGCTCTTTCCACAGTGTTCGGTAATTCCCATCTACCCCCTACCTCCCACCCTCATCACCACACCCCCAAACACTCAAACTCCGTCTGGTTTCTCAAGAGAGAGATTTTGGTTTACCCCTGCAAACAGATGCTGAAGACCCGGGGCATCGCTGGGTCTCTCAAAAAAATGTCATCAAATGAATATTAGTTCTAGTTAAACAGGTAACAGTCCCAGTCTCCCTACACTGTTTGACCAGCGAAAGCTTATGGAATAGAAGAGGCTGAGGAGTTAGGAAATTATCAGGAAAACAAAAAGGTGAACACAACTGGTAAATCTCGGGAATCATTCCATCAGCCTTATCTGCCTGGTGTTTCTTGACCTGGGAATCTCCACAGGAGCAAGAAGCAGAAAAAAGTGTGTATGTCTGATAAAAAGTATCTGTGTATTCCGAGCATGTGGACTTGGGTCCGACGTGTGCAGGGAGAGAGCCCCGCGGCTGCGAACACCTGTCCCATGAGGGCCCCAAGGTGCGAGTGCAAGTAGATGGCGTGTGGATGCCAAGGTCAGAGCCAGCTGGGAGCCCCGGGGTGTCCGAGATGCCTGAGTGTTGGCACTAGTTGAGCCCCTGGGCAACTTTCAGCTTCTTCCGAAGTCCACACAGCCACCGAGAAAGCGGTGTATGGCCCGAGGCCCTGCGAGTGGCCCCATCCCCACTTACCTCGCTCTCCTGACAGTGGTTCTGAGGAGGATCCGTGAGCCAGTGCCAGGCTTGCTCGAGAAGCACAGCGCTAAGAACGGCAGGTGCCTTTGTAGGGCGCGTGGCTTCCTGTGAGCACCGGCTCTGTCCCTCACCCATCTATGCTGAGTTCAAGAGGGTTTTTTTGATAGAAGTAAGAAGCAGAAAACGAGTGACTAAGAGCCACTCATTTCCCAAAACTGAAAGCTAGGAAGGTTTGCTCTCTGCGAGATTAAAGAGGGAAATGAAGTTAAGTTTTCTTTTGAAAGAGAAATTTCTTAATTTGTAAATGCTTATTTGTGATTTTTATTTTTATTTTTTAAGATCTTATTTATTTATTCATGAGAGACACAGAGAGAGGCAGAGACACAGGCAGAGGGAGAAGCCAGCACTGGATCTCAGGACCCCTGGATCACGCCCTGAGCCAAAGGCAGACGCTCAACTGCTGAGCCACCCAGGTGCCCCTATTTGGTGGATTTTTAATTTAAAAAATTGCCTTTGGCCGGCTATATGCAGGAGGAACAATCTGTACCCTCTGGATCAGTGGGCTCTTTGTGATTTGCCTGTCCACAGGCACCCATGATGTGCGGCATCCTCCAACAGGGGGCACCCAAGGAAGTCAGCAGAGAGGCCAGACACATGCAAGAGTCACCAGAAGAGAGAAACATGTTTGCGAATGTGTGTGTCCGGGAACTGGAGAGCGTGAGCCCCCCACATTCAGGCGTGTCGTCAAGCTCGTGTAACATGGCATCCGGCAATATAGCTTCAAGCCCCCCTTGCAACAGGAAGACCTGTCCCCACGCCCCTCTACCTACAAACCAGGGCGCTTCCACTGCCAGTGATCTTGGCCAAGTCCCTCCAGGGTGGCATGGCAGTCACAGCCAATGGGCTGACAGCAGTCCTAAGTCTTTGTCTATCACAGCCTCAGCTTCTGCAGGTTCCAGATGTTTTCCCTTACGTGTCTGCAGTGGCTTAGCTCTCCGGTTTGGCTTAAAAGAGCCACGGAATGTCATTTTTCCTAAGGAAGTTGCATGAATAAGAACTTAAAAATTGAGCCAGATCCATGTGTATCACCCTTTCTTTGTTCATTATTACCTCTCCCCAAGGAGTCTCCACAGTTACTTTTTCTTAATCACCTCCCCATGAAATGTTAACACCACAAACAAACCATGTATCTATGGTTTATGACGTAATGCATGTATATGAGTACGTTATACATAAAAAGAGTAGGGGTTTTTTGTTCATCTCTTTGAGGGCAGTACTGCCTTTACCAAGCGTGCATGAGGTAGAGCGTTGGGTTCCAGGGGTTCTTAGGCCCCCCGCACGTGGGCCTATCTGGAGACACTTCGTCTGGGGTTGGGAAGAGCTGCTTCTGACTTCTAATGGGAAAAGGCCAGGAATGCTGCTAAAATCCTACAAGGCAGAAGATAGCCCTCCACAACAGAGTTCTCCTGCCCAGGATGTCAACAGAGCTGAGGCTGAGAGACCTGAGCTAGGGCAACAATCCCCAGCGGGTGACTGTGGGACCAAATTCACAGATACCCTGAAACAAAGAGATGAAGCTCTGTGGTCAAATTAGTACAGGGATCTCTGGGCTTGGGTTCAGGCTAACCACAGCTCTATACTGCAGCACTTCTTGGGGGCTTTCCAATGCCAATTATCATTGTGAACTCTGGAAGTAGATATAGAATAAAAAAGTCCCGGGTGGCTCAGCAGTTTAGCGCCGCCTTCAGCCCGGGGCGTGATCCTGGAGACCTGGGATCGAGTCCTATGTCAGGCTCCCTACATGGAGCCTGCTTCTCCCTCTGCCTGTGTCTCTGCCTCTCTGTGTGTGTGTCTCTCATGAATAAATAAAATCTTTAAAAAAAAAAAAGAATAAAAAAGTCCCTATTTGACCAATTCAACTATGCCCGTTACACAGGGTAATTTACAGAATAAGCATACTTTTAGGTTCCGCTGCCCTCTTTTCTCTTCAACACGATGGCCAAGTGCTTTGGTGGAGGCAGCCTTGCAGCAGACACAGAGAAGCAGATCTTCCTGAAGACCCTGATGGACAAGACCATTGTCCTTGAGGTCGAGCCCAGTGGCACCATCAAGAATGTCAAAGCCACAATCCAAGACAAGGACGGCATCCCGCCTGACCAGCAGTGTTGGATTTTTGCAAGCAAATGGCCACTCTCTACAACATCCAGAAAGAGTCCACCCTGCACTTGGTACTTCCCCTGCGGGGCAACACCATCAAGCCTCCCCTCAGTAAGCTGGCCCAGAAATACAAGGGTGACAGGATGATCCACCACAATGCTCGCCTGCACCCCCACCCTGCCACCTGCCACAAGCAGTGCAGCCACACCAACAGCCTGTGCCCCAAGAAGGTCCTTCGCCAGCAGGGCCTGGGGTTTCAGTAAAGTTTCCCTTTCATTGACTGGAGCAATTAAAAAAAAATCCCCCTAGTTTTAGAAATGTAGAGCCAGAGTAAGCTTCTATCATGAAATCCCAGGCCTTGAAGGACAAGGTAGAGAGCTGGAGGCACAGTGGGAAAGCCATGAGAGCCCTGGGCAAGCCCATCTGAACACATCGCCTAAGCCTCCACGGACCTGGCCTTGGGGGAGGAGTGTTTGGGTGTTAGTTCTAGAGCATGCGCTAGCCAGAGGTCCAGA